CGCGGGGCCGCGCGGGGAGGAGCGCAGGCGAGGCGACTTCCGGGGGCTGCTCGCCCCTCGCTTTTTGCTCAGCAGTCCGGAGGCTCTGATCGCCCACCTTCCCCGCCCTCCTGGGAAAATCCATTCCCCGTAAAGAACGGAAGGGGACCCCAAATAAATGCACGCCCCCCAGACCTGCATTGGCGGGGTGCAAGTTTCGGTTCCTGCTGTGCTTGGGTTGGAAAAGGAACTGCAGCTGCGAATGGACTTCAGCAGCGTGCCAGCTTCCAGGCTTGCAATCCTAAGACCTTTACACTTTATGCAAGACCCGTTGCCGCCCCCGGTCGTGGGACTTCGTCTCCCCCTTCGCAGACACGAGTTCTTCTGCTCTTTTGCCCCTGTTCCCTGCTCCCCTTCCCTTGGATGTTCCAGAGAAGACGTGTGACTTTGAAAGGTGTTAGCCCTAGCAGGAGGTAAGCTAATTAGGGGGAAAATCTCCCTCCCCTTCCCAAAGAACAATTTAGGCCAGTGTTTCTCAACCTTGGGAACTTTAGATGTGTGGACTTCAACTCCCAGAATTAAAGTTCCCAGGGTTGAGAAACACTGGTTTAGGCAAACGAAGGTCCGCTCATTTATTCATTTACAAAAAGCATTTTATTCTTAAACTTTATTCCCAGACCAGTGTGAACATTAACATTGTGGTGTATCCCCCAGCTGGAATTTTTTGGGGGGTGTGCCTGTGTGTGTGCGTGTGCATTATTTGTAAGCCATTTTGGGAAGATCTGAAAGACAAGTTGTGCAGAATTAAACTAAAGAAATAGGTATATGTCCCAAGCCAAAGATTTTATATTTTTGTAAATCTTGGAATTCATTTTCTTCCACACAGGTTGGAGAAGTTGCCCCATTTTGGTTAGATCTTCTTCACCTCCCTGTCAGCCAGGTGTGCAGTAGAGCAGGGCTCAGCAATACGCAGCCCCAGGGGTGGCTCCGGTCATCCAACCCTTTTTTTCTGAGATCCTCCCCTCTCAACCACCAGAAATCACAAGTGGGACAGCTGAAAATCAATGCCAAACATACCCATAATTTTGGGGCAAAAAACACAAACGTTGTAGGAGAAGACCTCAGTGGATTAAGCACGATGAAGAGAACAGCAAAGAGCTCACCCCAAACTTCTAACCAAAAGCAAACATTCCTGATTCTGCCCATTTGGTTCACTACAAACCTCCCCCCCAAAGAACCATGTTAAATGGTACCTAACCAGCAAAATACGGTCCATCCTTGCACCAAACCATGATTTTTACTGCATATGGCACTATGGTGCCTATATGGGTTGGGGCAGCTTATAAATGTTGTGAAATAAATAAAAATAAAATATCATTACTTCTTCTGGCCTTAAGTGCATACAGATATGCCTGGTACGAGTGAAGATGCTGACTCTGAAAAAGACTGCTCCATCGCTGAACTTTGAAAGCCAAATTGAGTTATTTGCTCATCTCCCCTCCCCTTCCCCCCCCACATTTAAAAGGTTAGCGACTTGACCTTCAGAGAGTACACCATGCATTTTGCAACCATCGACTGTCGGGAAATGGTGTTACTACTTCTGCATTCCCTCTGCATTTGGCAGTCTCTTGCTCAGGAATGAAAGTGGTGTGTACAATATGGTGTGTGTGAATGTCTCTGGTTTGCTGATTTCCCAGCTGTTCTTCCTGACCCAAAGTCATCTCTGTTTACATTCTGAACATGTGCCAAGAGCCTATGCTATGGAATGATACCCTAACTGCTCCCCATGTGCTGATTGGGATGGAGCATACTGCACTTTCCATGGCAACGGATACTGTTGCTAGGAGACAGAGGAATAAAAGACTTGGAGGAATGCCTGACAGCCTTCCTCCCCCTCCCCCTTGTCTTCTGCTGTCTCCCCAAGTACCTTTGGAACAAGATGATTCCTGAAACACGGCAAGCACAGTGATGACGATGAGGCAGAAGCACCAGGGCATGGAGGAGTAGGGAGCAATTAAAGGCTGGGCATTTTTTGGGCCCAGCCTTTAATTGTTGTTCGTATGAGGGACCAACTGTTTTATGCTGAGTTTATTTCAAGCAAAGGCGTGAATGGGAGGGGCACATCTTCTTTTTGTTCAGATCATGGATCTCATCTAAAAGAAGACCCTAGGCATGGATATGGGCGTAATGGGCTCTAAATGTAAGAAGAATCTGGCTGGATCAGATCAGAAGTCTTAATAGTCCATCATCCTGTTTATCTTGGTGAGAAGCAAGGTGCTTTGCATTCACATGGTCCTGAGTTCAGTTCCTGGCACCTTCAAAAGGTGAAAGCATCTCTGGGATCTTCAACAGGTCATTTCCACTGAATAAGATATCTTGCTTATCTCTTGTTCACAAGCAGTGCATTTCTGCCCCCAAGCAGGTGGCATTTAGCAATATACTGTTTCCGAAGCTGGAGAAACCATTTAGACGAAATGGCCAGCAGAGCTTATCCATTAATGATTTTTTCTCTCTCTCAACCAATTGTGACTTATGGCAATTGAATTTCCATTGTTAAATTAATATATAAAGAACTTTGCTCTTGCTTATCCAGGATTTGATTCCCATCAATCTAGAATTACGAAACAGAGATAGACTTTCATGCTTATCCAAAGCATGCTCAATTTGATAAACCAGCTGCAGGTCAGCAAGGGGATGTCAAATATATTTTTGGAAGTAAAGTATTTGATAAAGCAGGGACTGTTATGGAGAATGATTACCTTGGGCACACATCCCCTTGACTTTCCATAGGGACAGGATGCTAAGCATCTTCTCCCTACATTCCACACAGATTCTACTTGCAGGAGATGATCCCTGAATGGAGCTAGGCTTTACAGGTCAGAGCCAGCACTTTCAATCGGAAACTTATTATCAACTGAAGGAATAACCAGAGAATCCATGTCAATATAAAAGGACCATCAGACTGTCAGGCTTTTCTGGGTAACAGTAACTCCATGTCCTGAAGTTTAATTGGCTTATTTCTGCCCATCCAGTCCCTCACAGCCTCACAGGGTATTGACGGTACCTCACTCCACATCGAAGGATGACCCAGTGACTCCCTCTCGATGTTGAATAGCAATGAAAAGAGAGCTGACCCATTTGATGTGCCACATGGAAGCAACTGTGGGCTTGACTGCTCCTCACTCACTGCCAAGCTGGGAACCACCCACTAAGATAGGAGTGGAACTGCTGTAAAAGAGAGTGCCCCTGATTTCCAACCCCAAAGGCAGTCCAGCAAGATACCGTGGTGGTTGGTATCAAAATCAGCTGAGAGGTCTAAAAGGACCAGGAGGGACACACCCCACCCGCCAGATCCAGTTGTAGCTCATCCTTCAGAGCAACCCAAGCTGTTTCTTTCCTGTGCCCATGCTTGAATCCAGAGCAGAAAGGATCTGAATAATCTGCTTCATCTGGGAGCCTCTGAATGGATTCCCACCTCCTCTCCTTTGTGAAGGAGACAGTCAAAACGGCTATTTTCCCACCCCATTACAAACAAAATTAAGTCGTCATGTTCCTTACTAACACAGGAATAGCTAGCGCAGCGTTTCTCAACCTTAGCAACTTTAAGATGAGTGGACTTCAATTCCCAGAATTCCCCAGCCAGGCA